CGTGGAAGGTCAAAGAAAAAAAAGGCAGATCATTCCAAGTGATGAATCGAGACTGCTCACTACCCCAACTCCTCTTTGCCCAAAAGTCATTCTTTCACCCCAAATAAAATACCCCAATGATGTTGCAGAGAGGCTGTATATAGGGCAATACAGCCAGTTTCATGGCTCAAAAGCCCAGAGCTGCTTCCAATCCCTTCATTTCGACACTTCAGAGATCCTACAGGAACTGGGGGAAGTTTCTTCAGAAACCATTCAGAAGCCCTTACGAGACCTCACGAAGAAATTGAAGACCGGCCCTCGCGAGCTATAAATACCCAACCTAGTCTACAGACCATAAAGAAACAAAACGTAACAGCACCGGTTACCTCGGATATCTACAGCCGCCATAATTCCAAAAGCGCCCGCAAATACTTCTTCCGGCGCAGGGTAAACGTAATGATTATGACGACGAAAGAGGTCTACGGACGTGACGTTAAAGCGAAGGGGGAGGAGAAAACGGGGCGGGGAGGAAAGAGGCGGGGAAGAACAGGGTGGGACTAAGAGGAAAGGACAGGGAATAGATGGAGGGGGCCGGAACGAGTCACTACGCCACCAGAACTCCCAGAAGTTGGGAGCTGGATTCCGAGGAAAAGAACCGACGGAAGACACGATTGGTTCGGGAAAGAAGGGGGTGGGGCGGAGGAAAAATGGGCGGGGCCTAGGGAATGGGCGCAGGGCGGGAAGGAGTGGGGCGGAGCTCATAGGGAGGAACTGGGGCGACCAAAAAGAAGGAAGTGGGGCGGAAGAGGGGTGGGGATAGTGGGCAGGCAAAGAGAGGGAAGGGGCTGGGCGGTGGGAGCTGGGTGGCGAGGAGAGAGGCGTTCGGGGAATAACTGGGAGGAAGGAGGGAGCAAGGAGGAGAAGAGGGAACAGTACAGAAAAACCGGGCGTTAGAAGGGACCGAGGACTAGGAACGGGGAAAAGAGCGAAGCGGGCAGGAGCTAGCGGAGCGGGCTGGGCCCAAAGAAAGGAAAAGGGGCGGAGACTACTACTGGAAAAAATAATTGTTTTTGTTCGTTGTTAAATGCCGTGGAGTGGACTGGACTCATAGCGACCCCTCCTTGGGTTTCCGAGGCAATATCACTACTGAAGTAGATTGCCCAACCTGCCATTTGAGGAGTGGCTGGTGGGTTTGAACCGCCAGCCTTCTTTCTGGTTAGCAGTCAAGTGCCTTAGGCACTGCGCGACTGACCAGAGGCCTGCTTCTTGCTCACCACTGAGGAATGCCAATATTCGATATTGATCTCTGGTCGTTAAAAACAAAGATCTGATTCTGTAGTGTTGGGAGTAGAAGCATCTTTATTTTTAAAGCTCCTCAGGTATATCCAAAGAGCTGTTAAGATTTAGAAACTACTATGAAAATAACAACAAAAACCCTGGTGGCACAGTGGTGAAGGACTCAGCTGGTTAAGGTTGGTTGTTGGAACCCACGAGCAGTTCCATGGGAGCGAGATGTGGCAGTCTGCTTTGGTAAATATTTACAGACTTGGAGACTATAGGGCAGTTCTACTCTGGCCTATAGGGTCATTATGAGTTGGAATTGACTCAACAGCAGTGGATTTTATTTAAAAAAAAAAAAGGCCATTGCTCTGGAGTCAATGCTGACTGAAGGCAACCCTATATATTACAGAGAAGACCTGTTGCGTAGGATTTCCTTGGCGGTAATCTTTTCGGAAGCAGATCTTCAGCCCTTTCTTTTGCTACACCAACTGAGTGGGTCTGAAGTACTCACCTTTAGATTAGTTGTTGTGAGGGGCCACTGATTGGATTCCAACTCGTAATGACCCTGTGGACAACAGAACGAAACAAGGTCTGGTTCTGCACCATCTTCACAAACATCGCTGTGTTTGAGCCCATTGTTGCATTTACTGTGTCGTTCTATCTGACCAAGAGTTTTTCTCAACCCTCTGCAAAATATGATGTCCTTCTTCAGGGACTGGTCCCTCCAGATTACATGTAAAAAATACATGAGATGAAGTCTTGCCATACTCACTCCTAAGGAACATTCTGGTTCTAATTGAAACCATTTGTACCACCTACCCATTCACTTTTCATAATGCCTCAAGTGTGGGGACAGGACAGGACTTAGAATTTGAATCATTAGCTTCTATGTGATTAAGTACATCAAAAG